ACCGGCAATTGAGAGCAATGATTTCACTTACATCTACGGTGAATTTGACATTTGGTTGAGTTTGTTTTAAATAGGCCTATTGACCCCCCTCTAAGCTTACCAGAGATCCTACATACTATTATGTGTTTGGGATCGTGTCGTATCCTCAAGTATTTCATTTAGGTATCCTCAAACTTTTCATTTAGGAAAATAATATAATACTTGATGTCCTCCAACCTTTTTCATGTCTAGATCAACTTCAATTTGTTGTTGTTATGAAAAATATTGGTATGAGGTGTAAGGACTAATAAATTGATTACTTATTGCTATAACATACATTGATATGAGGTGTAAAAAGTAATAAAGTGAATTCCTAATAGTATGATAGCAACATCATATTTATTTATCCCATTCAAATGTTTGCATATTCTTTAACTTTCATGGATGACACTTGGAATGGTTCCTACAGTCAAAATCAGAGAATAACAAGGTTGAGCTTGCTACCAAGAGGTATCCCCTCATCTTTGCCTCAACCATTAGATGTCTGGACATTGATCTTCAATCATCTATTGAGTTGGATGTTGTTGTTGATGAAGAGTCAAAGAATTCAGCGATGCACAACCATATAAATTCACACCAATAGTTGTTTGTCTTTCATCCTACCATCCAACCCAGAGGAGACAGTTGTGCTAGAGCATGGTGAATTCAAGGCATGAAACCTTTAAAGCCCTAGTTTGGTTTTGGTAATTGAGTAACAACGAACAAGTGGACTAATGCTTTTAATGAAGATGATTGAGCTAGGTCCACATGATGGCGTTGAGGAAGGTGACAACCGTGGTGAAGATGGTGATGGCCACATGTTCAAGATGCTCAACCTTGGAGAGAATAGAAGAAGATGGAGTTTGGATCAAGGCCGAAGGCAAAGGTATATCAATAGTACTTTGCTTTGGCCGACCAAGGTGTAGTAGAGTGCACGGTTAGGTTTAGGGTAGATAGCTATACTATTAAGAGGGGAACTCTAAAGCAATTATGCTTATGTAGTGCCACTATGTGATGATTAACCATGCATATGTATTAGACCTAATGACGTGGTGAGAAAGCAATTGAAAATGTTTTGAAAATGCTAACTCAAGTGCTCAAGGTGTTGGTGTTCTATGGAAATGGAACACACTTTGGAGTTAGCACATTTCAAAACTTGCTTGAGAGAAGGGTTCAATGTAGGGGTTCTGCACTCACCGGAATTATTTGGTGCCCCTACTAGGGAAGCTATCGAAGATTAGGCTACGCACTTAGCCTCCTTGTGAACTAACTTTTTGTTGTTGAGGAGGAGTCACCGGATTTATCTAGTGCCTTTGCTCCTATAGCACCTGTTGACACCAAAGGTGGCAAATATGTAAACACGTGGTGGAAAGACTAGATAGGGCTATCACAACCTACTAGCATTCACAAGCAATCCATGTGAAAAGCAACATACATAGGCAAGGTATTGTCTAGACACCATGTCTACACTATATCTCACTACTCTAACCATGGTCCATTAAGTTCCCTTAGTGAAGCTAGAGCACTCTACTAAAGTAAAGAAGGTACCAATGAGAACAAGTTATATATCAATTTACTAGAACTAGAGATCAGTTACCATAAAGAATCTTGGATGCTTACTTACAGACAAGGCTGCATCCATCAAGGAAGTAGCCATTGGATTTATAGGAAGTTGTAGTCATTACAAAAAGCATGGCATTGGTTAGGAAATGACATGCTATGGTAAAGTTTAAATTCTGTTAGGTGGGAGAAATTAAGTAATTACATAAACATATATATGGATAACTCAAGAATAAGTTGCACAATTGTGCTCTCACTACTCTAAAACTAGAAGTACAACCATTATCGTCCAAGGACGTTCATGCCTTCAAAGAGAACTCTGTAGAGGTGTACAACTGTACCCACATAGATATCTAGGATGAACCTCCATATCCATGCCCGAATAAGGGTTGCCTCAAGGTTCCAACATTTACCTAGTGTGTCCAACTAATCCATGAATGATACAATGATGAGCAGAGGTATCGTCTTCTTTTAGCTACCTTGCGCTACACCCCAAGTCAAATCCACATGATTAGATCATCACCACTATGTACTTAGCTTGACACACCCATAGATGACCATGTGGTATGTGCAGGGGTTACTTTGTATAATAGAGAAATAGTCCTTAGCCACTCCATGAGCTATGCCACTCAAGATTTGATACTCATAGTGACCTTACCCCTCATTGAGCCAATCTATACAATAAATTAATCACTTAAGTCTAATTAAAGGTTGACCTTAGCCAAGTTATTGGCTAAGACAAGTTAATTTCCATTGGAAAGTTTTTAAGTTGTTAATTGAATCTGGTGTGCCATTTTGCACACGCAAATATGAGTTCCCGCTCATACTCGACTTCTACCAGTTCTAAGCCAACTAAGCATAATTAAATGTCCCAAAACCAAATTTTAATCATGTAAGGCTAATCATCATAAGGTGTGAGACTAATCTTTAGTGAAATCAAGATAGTTGTTTAATCATCCTTAGTATGAAATGCAACTAACAATATGAACATGTAAAAATGAGTATCCAAAATAGAGTTCATCCAATAGTAGTGGTGTCTACCTATCATGATGTATGGGTGATCTCAGGAGATCATGACTGCTCAAAATGTTCCTTACTTTGTATTATAGCTGCAAAGGTGAGTGGAAGGGGGTAGAGTTGAGAGAAACTCAAAAGGATGGATGGCTTTGGGGAGACTAGAAGGGTTATGCCTTGTATGCTAAAGAGAGAAGCAGGTTAAGTGATTTGAGGATCAACTAGCCTTTGACCACAACTTTTTAAATCAGATCCTATGTTTCGTATATTTAACATTTTTACACAAAAGCCCTAGGTCTTCCAAAAATAGAGGTTTCTAATAAAACCCTAGGTTTAACCTCCATTTTTTCAAAAAACCTTTCTTTAACCTTTAAACCATAGGAAAACCATAAAAAATCAACCATAGCTCCATAAATTGTGAAACCATCTTCATTATCTTTCTATAGTTATGTTTTGTCTATTTAAATTATGCTCCTATGCATTTGTATTGATTTCATGTTTTAATTATACAATGATGGCAGTAGAGAAGTATATAGGAATCTTATACTCACCCAATGCCCTCCCTACTAGCTTCTATATATCTTTATTGCATTGGAACTTCAGTGTGTCGCACTACCACTTTATGTTACCCCTGCTAGACTTTGGTACAATAATTGGTATAGTGAAGAACAATCTATTCAACAATTACTCTTAGCCATAGCTTTCCCTAAGGATATTAATATGATACTCTAGGATACTCCTGTGTGAAGTACTACAATGGTGTTTCGATGCATTTGCATAAATAACTACTTGAACATAAGAAATACCAACACTCAACATCAATGTATCAAGCAACCTAGTTAGAAGCAACCCAACAATTACGATAATCAACGTCAACAACACTAAGACAACAAGACAACCCCTGCAACAACCAACAACATAAGGCATAGGAGGTCAAGGCGTCCAAAGCGAAGGGCGAGAAGGTCGAGGAGGTTGAGAGCAACAGAAAGACCGGGGGTGCGAGGTACATTATCACTTCTGTGGCTTAGTCCAAGGCCACACAACTATCTGCTATGAAAAAGGCATGGAGTTCAAAGAGAATCAAGCCTCCCCAAAAGAGAAGGAACAACACAAGGAAATCTTATGGTAAAACTATTTTGTTTTAATTACAAATTAGAAGGCAAGTAACTATTTTGCCTAATATTTTGAAACCTGGATTTAAAAACAATTGGTTTGGTCATGATTAATTATGCCTGGTAGATAATTTTTTTGATGAGATCTTGTCTTTTAGCATAAATGCATTTCAAACTATATGTTTGAAACTTAGTTTGTACTAAAGTTAACCTAAAAAGGTTACAACCAATTTTTTTTTTTAATTTTAAACCTTGACCTTATAGACATCTGTTTTTCCATAGAAGAATTTAAAATATCTAGGTAAAGTTTGAACTCAAACCCAAACTAAACAATTTTCTTTTCTTTTCTAAATTTAAGTCAATCCGCTCTCTCTTTTCTGATCTTCTAAATCAGTTGTGTTCTAGATCAATGTATGGATGTCAGCAAGCCACATCATCCACTATCGTTTATTTAGTTGTGCATGCTAACATGTCCGCACCATCTGCTAACATTCATAGTTTATCTGTTCATGTAAATAGATATAAGTATTATAATTTCATTTTAAATTATCAACAGCCCCATAGCAACACCTAGGGTATTGTTGTAGTTAACAATATTTTTTTTTATAAATTTAGTCAAACTTAAGATAAGTTGAATGGAAACAAAATTAAAACACCAAGATTTATAGAACGGAGGCAGTAGGAAACTCCTTCCAAAAGCATGTAATCAGTCAACAAGTTTTTTTTTCACAATTGATTCCACATACTCCCTCAGCCTATAATATAATATATTTCAGTTGTTCTAAGTGAAATTATTCTGAGTTTAACTAGGTATATATAGAAACGAGTATTTGCTCAAACAAAGAAACCAGTATTAACATCTATTATATCTAATAAATTATAAGAATACATTTACAATGCATTTAATAAATCTCATTGGATATTGCAACAATCTAAAGTTTAGTTAAACTTAATATAGTTTAAGTTACAACAAATCCAAAATTTATACTTCAGGACGGTGGGAGTATTATAAGATAAGTTGCGTGAAGTCATGTTTCCTGCCTACCTCTTCCAGAAGACCCGAAGTTCACCAAAACTAGGAAACCAATTATGTGGCAATTACTTAAGCTGCGGAAAAAGTAGAGCTCAGTAGCCCACACAGTCACACGTCTGAGTCTGAAACTTGAAAACCACGCTCGCGGGCCCGCCCGGCCTGTATAAATACATACGACCCATTAGCAAAGTTGCAGCCTGCAGCTCCCGACCCCGCAGCGATCCATCGCATCAGTCATTCGTCCCCGCGCAAGGGTGCAATCAATGGCGGAGGCTCCCACGACGCCGCCGCGGAAGCCGAAGCCGTCGATGTCGCGCCTCATGCGGCTGTCCCTCAAGTTCGTGGACAGGTTGACCGACGCCACCCGCCGGGCAGACGGGACGCTGAACCGCTGCGCGCTGTCGCTGCTGGACCCGCGCGTCCCGGCCACCTCCTCCCCTTGCCGCGGCGTGGCCTCCCGGGACGTCGTCCTCGACGGCGCGCTCCGCCTCCGCGCGCGTCTATTCCACCCGGCCACGAAGATGGCGAAGTCCACGGCCCCCTTCCCCGTGATCGTCTTCTTCCACGGCGGCGGATTCGCGTACCTCTCCGCGGCGTCCGCGGCCTACGACGCCGCGTGCCGCCGTATGGCGCGGTACGCCTCCGCGGCCGTGCTCTCGGTCGATTACCGCCGTGCCCCGGAGCACCGGTTCCCGGCGCCCTACGACGATGGGGTCGCGGCGCTGCGCTTCCTCGACGACCCCAAAAACCACCCCGCGGCCATCCCGCTCGACGTCTCCCGCTGCTTCGTCGCGGGCGACAGCGCCGGCGGCAACATCGCCCACCACGTGACCCGCCGTTACGCGTCCGACGCCGCCTCGTTCAGGAACGTCCGCGTCGCCGGCCTGATCGCCATCCAGCCTTTCTTCGGCGGCGAGGATCGGACGCCCTCGGAGCTCCGCCTGGACGGCGCCGCGCCCATCGTGTCCATCGACCGCACCGACTGGATGTGGCGCGCGTTCCTGCCGCCCGGCTGCGACCGCACCCACGAGGCCGCCAACTTCGCGTCCCCAGCCGCCGCCGCGGGCCTCGACTCGCCGGCGTTCCCGCCCGTGCTGCTCGCCATCGGCGGCTTCGACCCGCTGCAGGACTGGCAGCGCCGGTACGGCGAGATGCTCAAGAGCATGGGCAAGGACGTGCGGGTGGCTGAGTACCCCGACGCCATCCACGCCTTCTACGTCTTCCCCGGGTTCGACGACGCGCGAGACTTCATGATAGGCATCGCCGAGTTCGTTGCCGAAAGCGCCAGTGGCGGAAGTAGTAGCGACTAGCGAGTGGTCGGAGCCGGAGCTGGAGAAGCAGCCAACACTCTGCAGTGGTCAGCCGTTGTGTCATCGTCGTGGCATGTGCTGTGTGGCGTTTTGGTACAAGTGACGTGTCGAGCCTTGTGCTGTGGGCTGTGTGGCGTAGTTTTGGAGGATTATTAGGTGGTGTGTGTTTGAGTGGTGGAGTGAGAGTAGGAAATGTGTCTCATTGTTATTGTTACTTTGGTAAGTTTGGTATGATAATAAGTCTGATGAATGATGTAAATTTTAATTAACTAATCAAGTTGGTGATTTCGTGATGCAAGGTGGCTGATGGGGACTCAAGCCTACCGGCACTAGAAAATTAATAATGAGGTTAACCACTTTAAATACATCCAGAAACAAATACCAGTAGTTTTGACTTTTTAATCAGCAAACTGAAACTTCAACCGATTTGGAAAGTAAAGGCGGAACCCAAATGTAGATTTTTTGCTTGAACTTTGCTGCATAAAAAAATCCTAACAACAAATAATTTGATTAAAAGAAATTGGCCAAATGATCCAGTATGCAAGCTTTGTGGTGTTGACCCGGAAACACTGACACATCTTTGCTAGGACTGCACTTTCTCAAGGCAAGTTTGGTCCTTCATCAAGCGATAGTTCAGCCTATCGGTGATTGATACTGTCGAATGACAGGATCCCTGCACAAATACTGGCGAAAGTGCAGAATTAAGACAGACAAAGATTAGAGAAAGATGTTTGATGGCATTATGATCTATTTTTGGTGGAATTTATGGAAGGAAAGGAATCGAAGAACATTTCAGAACAAGTCGCTACAGCCTAGTCAGGTGGCACTCCTTTGCAAGGAAGATATAGAGCAATACCAGTTGGCAACAAGATTTCATGATGGACCACAGCAGGAGTAGTTCTAGTATTTGTTGGTCACTGTTCGGTTGGTCTAGTTTTGTGTTTTTTTTTTGCTTCAGGGTGTTTTTCTAGACTTTAAGTTGTCGTTCAGGTGGGTATTTAGTTGGGTTGTTGGCCGGTGTGCCGTGGTGGCGGTGAGCTTGGTCTCCCGTTGTTTGTTGTAATTATTTTTTCTTGTTCCTTTTTGCTCATCTAATAAAAATCCGGCAAATCTCTTGCCGCCTTTCTAAAAAAAAAATCAGCACTGACGTTGGAGCCTCAGCTTTGTTGAAGTTGTGAAGAAAAAAATTGCAGTGAAAGCTCCACAACAATGGTGACAGTGAACCAATCAGCAGCCTAATGAACCAAACATGCTCCCTCCGTCCAGTTCGAAAATTTTTAAGACATCTCAAGAAAATACTCTAATGATGCATGTATCCATAGATTAAACCAATTAAAGACTTCTCCTCAAATTATGATTTTCTTTTTAACAAATTTTGCTAAATCTGAATTTGGCCACCACATAGAATCCCTTATATTTCAGTATAAATTTTAGAAATCATAATGCACTCTATTTTATGATAGAGGGAGTATATCATAAGTTTAATTAATAGTTACAATATAATATGGAACCCAAATAGACTGGAAAGGTTGTGGATGGAGGTGGATCTAGAACAAAAATGACCATGAAAAACTGTAGTAATCTCCAAAACAATGGTTATAGCGAACCAATCAGCACTCTAATGAACCAAACATAATCCATATTCTAAGTTACAATGATATGGGACCCGAATAGACTCATAGGGTTGTGATGGATGTGGATCTAGAATAAAAATGTCCATGAAAAATTGCATCAAGCTCCAAAACAATGGTGATAGGGAATCAATCAACAACCTAATGAACCAAACATATATTGTAAGTTACAATGATATTGGACCCAAATAGACTCGTAAGGTTGTGGATGGAGGTGGATCTACAACAAAAATAACCGTTTCTATAACATTTGACCTTCATCACACATCTAGAAACATACTACTTCCATCCGAGAAAGAATATAATTTTAGTTTTCTTCGTCAAACTATCTAAAATTTGATCAAATTTATAGAAAAATATCTTTTCTTTCCTAGATGAAGAGACTAGATAAGAGTTGAATGGATTATGGTTATGCATATATATGGTCATCAATATGTATTATGAAACCCCACCAATTCAATTTAATTTGGATACTTTTGCGGAGGGCTACAAGTGTACTTGAACACATTATTTATATATCTAGGTAAACTTAAGTTGGGAGATAGGTCACAAATCAGGTTATGGGAAGATATCTGGTTCCCTTAAGTCACAGTATCCAAACATGTACAACATTGTTTGGCAAAAAAAAAAAACATAATGTAGTTGTGACTCTTGCTACTTTCCTGCTCAATGTCTCTTTTAGGAGGGTATTAGTTGGGAATAAGCTTATAGAGTAGCAAAACTTAGTGTCTTATAATTGAAAATATTCACTTACAGAAAGATACGGATACTTGTTTTGTCTTTTAAAAAGTAATGGTCTCTTCACTGTAAATGCAACGTATAAATATCTTATTAAACACATGAGTTTATGTGTCCTAGAAAAGTTGGCGTCTAAAGGTCACCACTTCAAATTAAGATTTGTCTATGGTTCCTGAGGAGGGTAAATCTAACAAAGAAAATTTAGCAAGAAGAAATTGTGTTGTAGTAAGTTGCACGAATATAACAATTCAACACCTCTTCTTTGATTGTATTTGTGATACATTTCTTTTGTGTGCAGTACATTTAGCTTAGGTTTAACACTCGAAGTGAAGTTCACAATCTTTTTCATGGGTGGTAAAGATAGAGGGGAGTTTAAATAAATCCTTAGTGTTAATAGAAGGGGCAGGCACAAATGAAATCATTTTTATGTGTCGACCCAAAACTTTTCAAGGGAACACATTTGCTACATTGGATGTAGTTCCAATGAGGTAAAAACAAGGAATGCATCCTCCATGTTTGCTGAGCGCTTGAGATGGCCGTCATACCTTTTCGTCTTTTCCTTTGGATGGCCAAATAATACTAGGATTGAATTATTAGCTGGACATATTTGGTTATTTAATCTCGCTATAGTAATTGGTCTAGTTCTCTTCATAGAATTGTCTTTTTCTGTATACTTTCCCTATTCTATTGCTACCGCATGTCTTATGCAATCGATTAAAACATACAAATATCCCTTCAACAAAACATAGGTCATCGAAAGGATCTTGGACAACTCACCAAAACATGAAAGCTAGTAAAAATGGATTCCTATTTAAACAGTGACTAACAGTATGGATAAGCTCACATTAACCCATCAATTTTGAACCCAATTCAGGATGTTTCGTGGAATGTTTCGAATTCTATGAGAAATAATGGGAACATCAACATTAAATGCCACGTTACAGTGCCAAGAATGACAAAACAAGGGTTGAACAATATTTATGTGTACTTAGGGCCTATTTGATGACCTCTAGATCATTAGAATATGATTTTGAATGAGATTATAATAATCTAGATTATGGATTATAATAGTTTGGGTTATCTGGATTTCTGAATTATAGGTGCAGAATTATCAGATTTGATCTTTTAAGCACCTAAAATATCCTATTAAAAGATTTGTGATGGATTAGATTCCAACAATCTATTAGTTGGAAAATATTTCTTGTAGGATTTTGTGTCTGGCAGGTGATCAATTATTCACGTGTCAGGAATCAGAGGGGTTAGAACATAGGGATAAGGATTTATACTGGTTCAGGTATGAAGTACTTTACATCTAGTGGAGAATAACTCCACTCAAAAGAAATATAGTGGAGAATAACTTCTCTTTGCATGCAAAGTAGGAGTGCTGATAATATGTGGTTGTATGTCTATGAACCAAGATGCAAACAAATATGGTCAGGGTTACCGTCTTATAATTTGGAATGGAGGGAGTAGTAATAATAAATAATAATCACCTAAATTTGCACTTAAATTACCCGCATTTGCTATTATCAAAAATAATTTTAAGTAACCTCTATATTTGCATCTAAACTACCCACCTAACTATTATAACAAATAATCTAAGTAACCCTTAAATTTGCATATAAATTAATCACTCTTGCAGTTATAAAAATAAACTAAAATGCCTCCTCAAATCAATATCTAAAATAGCAACATTTATTGGAAAAAGTTTAAATAAATATAAATTACACTTTTATAAGTTTTTAATTAAATTACCCAACTCTATCACTATTATTGTGTAAAAAGATAAATTTTAGTAAGGATATCAAGAAGTATTTGTATGCATGAATGATAAAAATATATTTGTATCTTCAACCATCATGAAAATGTTTCCGTAAGATTCATATATGAATTATACCAATGATTCAAATATATTAATATGCATGGAAACTATTTTGTAAGTCGTTTTTAGATAAATTTATTCATTTTTATTGAAATATTGTCAAATAAAGTATAATTGTAAGCACTCTTATCAATTTTATACAAAATGCAACTACACATATGATTCTTTGATAAATAAACTTTAGTTTGTTGAGCAGTGGAGGAGGTTGGCGCAGACCAAATGTGGCCATGGACTTGCTAGTTTTTGAAATTCCTAGTGATTACTAGGCGTAAGTATTAAAAATATGTGGAGATTGTTACTATTGGCCATTTCTAGATCTCACTCGGAGCTATACATGGGTACTGGCAGGTGTGGTGAAGGGATAAATGCTTTATGCTAGTATGGTAACTGAGAGTGCATTCTAAAATCTCAAATCCTTACTTTTTTTAATAAAAATATAATAGGACAACATGGAATTAATATGTGGAAAAAAAGTTTAGCATCCAATAATATGCAAATTTGGAACTCAATAGAATCATAACGTTAGAAGGCATAGGCTGCAAATAAGAGCCACCACAACTTAAATAAACTTATAATGTTTCACATAGATGTATATTGAATATACATGTGGGCGTCATGAGGAGAGAAAATATAGATATGGATGGTAAAGACATATAGAGCAATGGATAAATTAATCACAACTAGATATGGATTAAGGGGTATCTATATGCGTATTATGTTAGAAAATGGAGAACGAATAAGAGCACAAA